CCTCTAAAGCCCATGCAAAGTTGTTCTCTTTTTCGCACTATAGAAATGCAAAACCAACAGAATACTTCTTCTCAGTCGACGTAACACCAACAACTTCCAACAATAGAAGCATGTACTTGTTGGTCTTATACGTTGAATCAATTATGAGAACGGTGGGAAAAGTATTGAACAATTTAATGGAGTCATGATGAATCCAATAAATATCTCTTACTGTTACTCCATCATCACCTCGTCGGTGCCTACAAACATAATTGTTTTCATCTAGAAGTTTCAAGAAGTGTTGCATCTCGGTTCGATCCACCCTAATCGCTAATTTGGATTGATTGTGCCTATTGTAAACTTGCTTGATATTTGATGTATTCTTTGGTCTTTTGCGCTTCAAGGTTGCAAGTATGTTTCTGGACGGTACCAAGTTCAAAGTCATGCCAGAAACACATGTCTTCTCATTCGGAAGGAGCCGACATGGAATTGGATGACCAACTAACTTTTTTTAAACTTAAATCATGGTTGTGTAAACCATATATCACCTTAAATGTCTATTTGTTATTTTCCAAAAGATAACCATGCAACCTAAATGGACATTCACATTTTCTTGAACCGGTGTCCTCGCGTTTAAATTTTTGGATACAATGGATATAATTCCCACTTCTTTCGCATATCAAATACACAAATTCATTTCTTCTATCCATACTATTATCGGACCTTCCAATCACAACACCAAATCCTAATTTCTTAGCCTCTATGCAAATCTACTACAACATGTCTTCACGTAATTCAAACTCTTCTCTATTTTTAAAATGCTCACGAATATCTACCACCTTAGTTACGATAAGAGATACGAGAGGTGAGAAAACTTGAGACACTTTAGGTTTGAGAATGTTATCGGGATGCATCATATCTAATGTTATAAAAAACATAAAACTTATTAACACTTACATAGAACATGGTAGAAGCTGTTGTCAATTAAACACAAACAAAAACCAGAAATACATTTTCGATTATGTTTAACTACAAACCGAAAATATACATTCGATTTTGCATAACCTTTTTCCATAATGAAAAACAGATTAATGTAAAGAATGATGATTGAAATGAATAACTTTACCTTAAATTCCACTTTCTTGAGCTCCTTTTGATATGATGAACCACAAAAATGAAGATTTAGAGTGGAAAAAAAGATTGAGAATGGAAGGGTTTTTGAGAGGTTTTGTGGAAAGAAGAAGAAATGGTATGATCATCATTGACAATGTTGGTTACTGTTTTAAGCATTATGAGTTTTCCATAATACCAGAAATATACTTCTGATTATATACGAAGTGACAAGGTGGCAGAAAAATCAATGTTTCCGCTCTAATAACCGAAAACATAATATATGTACAAAACCATAAATATATCTCCGTTTTTGTTTTTTACATTTTGAAGGTGAAGCCACATTTGACCTGTTTTTATAAAATATGGTGCGAATCCGAAATGAATTTCTGGTTTTCGAGAGACATATTCAGAATTGCAAAGAATACTTCTTTCAGGCATGTGGTGGAATAAAAAATGCCCTAAACCTGAAGCTTGTTGAGGGTAGGTTTTAATTGTTTTGTTTGGTTTGGTTGTTGTTTTTGTTGTTAATTTGTTTCTTTAGCTTCTTGGTTGTACATGTACCTCTAATGCTTCTTTTTAATGTCAAGAATCTATTGCTTAAAAAAAATAGTGCGTAAAAGTGGTTTGACGTTTATTAACAACTTTAATTTGGGGAGAAATACTTGATTTTTGACCTGTGTTTTTGAACTAGACTTCCAAATAATTGGATTGCATTATTTGAGCTAGACTCCCAAATAGCTGGATTATGTATTCGATTCAATTTTTAAGGTTTTGTTTGAAAGTTTCGAGAGAGGGGAAGGGAGGATTAGGGGTGGCAAACGAACATGACCAATCTATTTAGACTTGTTCCGTTTAAATTTGCTTCGCAAAAGCAAAAAACCGAGAAGAACAAACATATTTATGGGTGCAGGTATAAAATTTTGATTTGTCATGTAAAAAAATGAGGGCACGCAGGGCAGTCTGGTGCGCATTGAACATTTTAAGTTTAAAAGTTATAAAATTTTCCAAAATCCTTCTCACCTAAATTTTTATATTCTTTTCACTAAATCCTTCTTATTTTTTAAAATCTTTCTCTTCATCCTCCTTTCAAACTCTCAAATATAACTTAAAAAACAAGCAATTTGAATGTTCAGTTATTAGCCTGTGATTCGTCAACCAAAAGAATTCTTAGGTAGAACGGAGAATGAATCGTCTCTTGCTTTCATGCTGCTCAAAATACAAAGGTTAATAACAATAAAACAATAATATAAATATAAGGTTAAAATTAGTGCTAAATAACATAGATATATAATATAATCTAAGGAGTAAAATTTGTGCTGAATAACATCCCGTAGAGAAAAAAACTACAGAGAATCTATATCTGCTAAACGGTCTCTTCTATGCCTTGTCCTACTCTTAAGTCTTAACTATATTCTTTCGGATAAAGATCCTCTAATTTTAAGGAGAAAAAAATAGAGTGATTTTATGCAATATTTATATAATATAAAAGAGTAGTGATATTAAATTTGGAGGAAAAAATTAATGAGAGAAAATAAAATAAAAGAGATAGCAAAAATGTTAGAGAAAGATAAAAAAGTGAAAGTTAATAACTAAAACCGTATTGTTTAGAAGTATTCAGTAAATTTACTTATTAATGTATATAATATTTAATTGATTTTTATGTAAGTTCTATTTTATATATTTTTTAAATCGGGAGCAAGTGCATCCATAATATATATATATATATATATATATATATATATATATATATATATATATATATATATATATATATATATATATATATATATATATATATATATATATATATATATATATATATATATATATATATATATATATATATATATATATATATATATATATATATATATATATATATATATATATATATATATATATATATATATATATATATATATATATATATATATATATATATATATATATATGTCATGATCAAATGATATTAATGTATCAAATTTAATAATATGACACCTCAGTTCATAATTAAATTTACTGTTAAATTGAAAACTATTATCATATAATATACATTTATAAAATTTCACATAAAAAAAAAATTTAATATGTTAAGGAGAATGATAAAAATTAACTCGTTGAAATGTCAAATGATTTTTGATTGATGTTATATTTTATAGACATGATTTATATGATAATATGTTTCAATTTAACGTTGCATTTGATTATATAGACATGGAGTGAAGAGTTATCAGATATGTTATGTTAATATATATATATATATATATATATATATATATATATATATATATATATATATATATATATATATATATATATATATATATATATATATATATATATATATTGAAGGGAATTAAGAGTGGAAAAAGTCTCTACAAATAATTTTACTTTAATAATTTGATTTTGTCCCATTATTATTATGGTTAAATATTTTTGACGTCCTCATAAATATATTAAATTTTAATTTGACTTTCTTTAAAATTTTCTTTTAAACAATCATTTTTTTAAACTTTTCATTCTAAAATTTGGTCCCTCCCATTAAAATGACTTAAAGGTTGCATACGTGTATAAACAAATCAGATTTTTGTGACACATGGCATAAATGACGTTGGTTTCATTTTTTAAATAGTCTTTTTTCTTAATATTGTTTATAGAAAACCCTAATTTGTTCTGCTTCTTTGTATCTTTTTCTTCTTCGTGTCTCTACGGTTCATTCTTCTTCACCTAAAATAGTTCCATTCTTCTTCAGTAAAAGTCGTTTCGAAATTTAAATGCCATCTTCCTCAAGGCGCATCAAATCAGGTTCTTTTCATTACACAATTGTGAGTGACCGTCCACTGAGAAGGTGTGTGTGTACTGCTCGTATGATATCATACCATTGCAAGAATGAGACTAACAAAGGAAATCTTTTATGGAGATGCCCATTTTGGCAAAGTGAGGAAACTTGCAATTTATTCATATGGGATGAAGACCTAGCACAAGAAAATGAGGTTTATGAAACTGTTGATGAAGATTGGAGCATAGATGAGAGACACATGAAGGGGATGCAAGATATTGAAATGTTGAAGGAATTATATGAATCTTCAATGAAGTAGAACAAGTAACTGCAGATGAAGATGAAATCAAAGGCATTTTCTAGAAAATTGAAGTAAATTTTTTTTTGTATTTTCGTTTATGCTCAACATGTACTTGTTATTGAAGTGTAAATGTTGATGATTCCATTGAAATGTAATGTTGTTGAAATATTGTTTCAATGTTGCTATAATGAATGTAATGTTGTTCAAAAGTTGTTGGAATGTTGTTCAAATATTGTTCAGAACATGTAATGTTGTTCAATTGTTTAAAAATGTGTTTAAATGTTGTTTCAAAAGAGTATTTGCATAAATGTTGTTAAAATGGACTAAATTTTGAGGGAGTATGGCCTAAAGTTTTGAGTGAGTATGACCTATAACTTTGACAACAAATTTCAATTTGGCATAATTGGCCTTTATTTGGCTTAATTCGAAACCGGCTATATCCATAATTTACACTTCAATTCAACAATATTTACATAGTATAATTTTCCGTATGTCTTAATATGACAATATAAACAAGATAGCAAAATTCAAATTAAATGAGATACAATTTGACTCATAATAGTTTAAACCTGATGGCAATTTTCAAAATGGTTGTTTCATTCATTACAACAAATTTCAAAAGAGTATTTACTTCGGTCATTACATTACACATACATGTAGTTGATTCATTCCATTGCAGTACATAACAAAATAAAAAATATAATAAATCACAATACATATGACATGGTGGTGATATAACACCATTCAAATACCTTCAAAACATAAGCATCTGACGGTACATCAGTACATATACGAAACATAAATATCTTCATATTATATGCATAATCTTCATCGTGTAAGGCCCTTGCGAATGTCTGCCCAACTTTTTGATGTCTTAGCACCACCAAGGACATATACCGTGGTTTCCTCTTCAATAATCACCAATGGATCATCAGGTTCTTTACCAGGGCCAACTATGTCTCTTGTTTTCAGTTTCCTTAGTTTGTCACTCTTACTTCTTGCACATGTCAAATCATCATTTTTCTTCACCTTGTTCTTTGGTATCATTCTCTTGACCTAGCTCAAGAAGGAATATGCATATGTTGTAAATGAAACGATTAAATCACATAAGGAATAGACAAATAATGTTTGTATACTCACAGGCTCACTGCTACTTGGATTTTTTGTGTAGAATTTTTTAGAACACCTGGTGGTTTGAAGACATCACTTTTACATGCTTTTGGTTTTTTACCAAAGAAATTCTTGACACTAGTTGACTTTGATACACTTGACTTGATAAGTGATGTGTCAATACTTATAGGTTAAATGTCCAAGACCTTATCATTACTCATAAATGCTTCCAATGTCTCATCATCCCAGTCATAATACTTGTCCAAACCAGAAGCCTGTGTTGCTGATTCTACATTGGTAGATGGTTGTTCCACATTGATAGCTGGTTGTTCCACATTGGCCGCTGGTTGTTCTACATTAGCATCTAATGTTTTCTTCTTTTTATGAGCCTTTTTAGTCTTTGTTGTTGCCTGAATCATGCTACCATTCACTGACCCCTTAGGCCTCCCCTGATATAAGTAAAGACATTATTAAATTACATAATTATTTACAAACAAACACAAGATAAATTTAGAAAAATACCCTTTTTTTCTATGCCACCTGGGCTTTGGTAGTATGAATGACCTATGTAGGAAGCTTCAGTGTTACATTTTTAAATGGAACAAACACACTTTTCTTATTTTTATTGCAAGTCCTAGCATTGTGGCCAAGTTCCAATCACTTTTTGCACCTATGGTTGGTATTTGTTCTCTATTATTTTGTTTATTTTGCCCCATATGGTTCTCTCTTCAAAGTTTCTCGGGCATGCCTGGTCCATATTTGAACATGGGTGGCAATATCATAGGATCATAGGTCTTAAGCCATTTGTTTTGGCCATTTAAAGGGGTGACCACTTCATTATAATATTTTTCATATGTGATCTTGTGATAACATTGATGAACATACTTGATGTGATCATCTACTTTCCTATAGTTTACAGTCACACCATGTCTATATGGTATCTCCACCAAATCCTAGTAGTTACATAAGCATGTTTGTTTTGCCAAGTGATAAGTGCCAAATTGTAGTTATTTTTGTATATAGTTTAGTGGCACTTATCGACTTTTTTTACCTCAACTTATGTATGAATTTGTACATATTGTGTATATTTATACATATTGTATATAATTCGGTTTTTATGTAATTAGTGTATTGTTTGATAGATTTTCTACTCTTTAGTAGGTATTGATGCATGTTTGGAGCATTGAGCAATAAAGTTTCGAAGGCACAACTTCAAATACTCAAATTTGGAAGAAAATAACGATGTATCCCGCTAAGCCCATCTTGTAACGCACTACATGAAGTTTGCTAGTGGCAGAGACTGTGTTTGTGAGCTCGCTAAGTGCACTCCGGCTGGTTAGCACGGTCCCCAATACCAACATAGATATTTTAGATATTTTCGTGACCCCGCTTAGAGCGAGTAGCTCGTTTAGCACGGTATGTACGATTTTGTTTACGTATAAATAGAATTTTTTTCATTTCTAGGGTTATATTTTGGGTAGTTTTTGATCCAAATTCATCACCAACCATTCTTCTGTAGAGAGAAGCTAGGAAATAACAATGGAGCTTGCATATGGATGATTTGGAGTCTGATTTCTCATCAATCAGATATGATAACCCGTGAGATGTTTGGTTCTTCTTCATTTTTCTCTATGTATTTCTCTATTCGTTGGGTTTTGTTTGTAATCTTACTCTGAACTTATGTATATTTGTCGATCATGGTGTTGTATAAATCTTGCTTTACAAATCAATCTTGATGTCTTCCTTAATATTTTTGCTTTATGTTTGGATTTGTGTTGTTATAGACATATACCTCTCAAATCCCGATTGAGGATGGATATCTATTAGTTTCTAGACTCTAGAGATCGATTTAGAGCTAATATTCACGGTGGGTATCAAAGCTTAATGCCTCAGTGTTGTTTGAGTTACGCGAGACATCGTTGACGAGAGTAACACATTTGTTATCATAACTTTGCGTTAGACATAACCTCTATTGTGGTACATCTTGTAGGTGTTTCAGAAATAGATACTGATGTGAGAGATACATGATGATTTTGATGAGTATTGTAGGTTGAGTACAACTAATTGTTAGGTTTAAGTTTGTGACGAGTAGTTTAAATTCATGCCTGATAAGTTTCTCCTCTCTAAAAAATGAATTTATTCTCTTGTTCATATGTTTTTACTTTTAAACCAATTCAAACCAAGCTCAGAAACATAGAAAATGTTGATCATCATTCTTTCCCTTGCACTGATCCCTATGGACACGATAAAACCCATAATACTTCTAATCTTTTGCTTGCCGCTTTTACTGCATAAACAAAATGATGCTGTTTCTGAGGATTGGTGTTTTGATATTAAATCGCATCGCAATAGTTTCTATAGTTTTGAGCTTTGTATATATCGTATATATTGTATATTTTCACTTGTATATTTTTACTTGTCTATATTTGTGTATATGTTTACATACTTGTATATTTGTGTTTGTTTTACACACTTGTTTATGTATTTGTTTTTGTTGTGTTCAAGTGTGTGTATATATGTGTTGTCCATCATGTGTTCAAGTGTTGTAAATTTTCTTGTTTTCATAACATTTGTTCAAGTGTTTAGTTAGGACACTTATTTTCGGATTGCTCAGTGAAGAAAAACATCGGGTGACAAGAGGAAGTTACTATCTAAGCACAATAAAGGCGTCGTGCTCACGATGTAAAACAAGCGCTTGTTGGGAGGCACCCCAACAATTATAAATTCTGCACATTTTATAGTTGAGTTAGTGTAGGTGTTAGTCGAGGTTTGGCATGAGGTGCAATTATGTTTTTATGTGCTTTTCTGCTATCGCTTAACACGGTCTAGCCCGCTAAGTGCGCCTTGTTTTTCTGCGCACGTTAAGCGTTCTCTGCTACCGCTAAGCGCGATCTACTGTGTTGGCCATGGGACATTTTGTTTCACCAGACCTCCTTTTTCCCACTTTCACCCAGGCTTTTTAGATTATTAAATAGTAGTAGTAATTACTGTTGTTGTTGCCTTCAAACATCAATCTTTTGGGTTAAAGTCGCATGGAGTGATTTTTCAAGTTTAATCATTTCAATAATGCAAATATGTGGTAATAATGGTAATCAAAGTTGGTACAATACAAGGTACTCTTTTATCGCTTTCCATAGCATAACATGATTAGGAAACTTGTAATTTGTACAATTACCACACCATTCATTCTTTTGCATTACTTGTTCGCGAAATGAATCACTTTAGATCCTACCCCAAATATGAGGAAGCGTTTCCATTGATCATATATGATGGAGACCAACATTCTTATTTTAACTGGATTTTATCATGTTTAATCTTTGTGTATTATCAATTTACAAATCCTCTTTATTTAGCATTGTCAATTTTGAACAGAATATATAGAATCTTTGTGTAACGCCCAAATGCTTTCAGGATTATCGTATGATCCCACAAATCAACACGTGTCTTTTTAGCCTGCTTTTTCCTCACTAACACACTTTTTGAGAAATTTTATAGAAGGATACCTATCCATATACTACTCCAACTCGAACATATTTAACTATGGAGTTTTTATTTGTTAGGCTACCGAAAAAAGATGTATCTTGTTGGTATAGGTAGTATCAGTCAATATTTATAAGACTTTCTTCAACCATGCATTCCAATACCTACATAGCCTAAAGGTCCCTCTCATTCCGATGTGATTTCGGTTTTTTCCTAGAAGCTGCCAACAACCACTAATTGTCATGCCTTGTGCACCAACAACCACTCCACGCCCTCGTCGACCTCGGGTATTACACTATGGAGCTCACCCAACTAGAATAAGGTGCCTGCTTTGATGCCTATTGAAATTCTATTATATGGATAATAAGATGTTATATTCAATGTTTTACAATGTGCATGATAAGTTTAACGCGTTACTGACAAAATAAATGCAAAATATAAACAACACATGAATTAATAACCCAGTCGCTAGAAAATCACCTACGTCTAGAGGGGTTAACCTAACAAAAGAAAATTCATTATTAATATTTATACGGAAAAATACCCTTTTTGGTCCCTTAACTTTACCTTGGGGTCTAATTTGGCCCCTTAAATTTACAAAGCGTAACATTGGTCCTTTAACTTTCAAAATGGCGTCACATTTGTCCTTCTGTCTATTACCGTTAGTCAAAGCTAGTAAATAGCTTCCAGGTGGCATGTTTCATGGTGAAGTGGATATAACAAATAATATATGATGAAAAATGAATTGTCATGTTCATAAAACCAGAAAACAATCACGGACGAAAAAGCCTAAAATGTATGTTGTGAAGGCGAATCAAAGTGAAATAAAAGTTTGAACACGTTATTGAAAGCGCATAGGCTGGCTTTATCAAAGAAGTGACAAATTAAAGAAGCATTTATCAAAAAGTTAGTAATTTCCGATCTGTTTCAGGGCAAATCTTTGTTCTGTAAATGTTTTAATCATGTAAACGTTTTAGGGCAAATCTTTGTTCTATTTTAGGGGATTGTGTTTATGTTCTGTAAATGTGTTAAGGAAATTTTTTGTTCAGTTTTAGGGTAGGAAAACTCTAATTACGAATGCATTAGGGCAATGTGTGTTTTTGTTATGTAAACGTTTTAGTGCAAACTCTAATTACGAATGTGATATGAATAAGTGATATATTTTAGTGCAAACATGTGTATTAGTTTAGTACCTATTTTGAATTTTGGAATGCTGTCATGTGTATTATGGAACATGTGTATCAACTTTGGAATGATGCCATGTCTATTTAAATTTTATGTATTACGGAACATATTGTGTTATGGAACATATTGATAAATGTGATGTCTGTTTAAATATTATGGAATCAGTTTATGGAATGCTATTAGTTTATGTATCAGGTTATGGAACATATTATGTCAAACATGTATGAGGTATGCCACAATGCACTACCTGGTACGCCAAAATGCATTACCTGATATTTTACTGTTATGTCAAATTTGAGGCCAAAACACATACAAGTCATGCTGTTATACCCCAATTTTTGCCCCTAATATTTCTCATCATCTCATGTCACAATGCATCAAGACACACACATTAGGGTTGTTTCTCTCTTTATCCTATCTTTAAGTTTTCTCTTGATGGATCACCAAGCACCTTGGATTGTGTTTCTTGTACATGTATTCTTTTAACTAACATAAATATGTGTATATATGTTCCTTTCAATATTCATATTGTAGGTGATCACAATTGCATTCATCTCACAATCTAGTCTCGGGTTTGAGGGGTGATTCTCAATCAAATAGTTTTCTAATGGATTTAAAGAGCTCAATCTTCAAGGTCATGTCTATGGAATCAAATATTTGTGGTTCAAGGAGCTCTCTCACTTAATTTAGGTCAAGATCTCCTCAAATTTGGTGGTGGCATTCATCAAGAAGATTCATAGGTTCATGTGTTTAT